AATGTTTCAGCCTGGGGCAAAAGGTTTTCTTTTCTTTTCAAATAACCAGCTGTGGTAGTATATGCTTACAATCCCAACACTCAAGAGGCTGAGGTAAGTTATCATGGATTTGAGGCCACCTTGAGTTACATACCAAGAAAACAAAGGCTGTGTGTTAGCTCGGTGGTAGAATAGTTACCTAGCATGTATAAGACCCTGTGTTCAATCTCCAGATACACAAGTAAGTATGTAAATGATAAACCAACAAAACAGCACATTAATCTGTAAATGACAACACGTACGTTTTGAAAGTGGCAGAAGCAGAAATGGTTTCTTTTGATTTGCTTTTCACATCAAGTATGTATTTCTCATACCTTTTCTGTACCATAAAATGTTCTTTTTATTTTAAATAACTGTGGCACAGTAAGTTGAATGTCTAATATTTAGCTGATGATACACTTTAGGCACGCTGCTGTAGAGTGCACACAGCTACACTTTCTTTTAGGCTATGTGTTCTTTCTCTATATGACCACACCATAATTTATTGAGACAGGCACTATGATTTCATTTCACAAATGAGGAAACGGGTTCCAGAAGGTTATATAATTTGCTTAAAGGTCACATGGCTACTAAGTGGCACAGCCAGGTTTGAAGCCAAGGTTGCCTGACTCTCAACACTGCATTCTCAAACACTCTACCCAGCCACACGTGGGTTTGCAAGCTTCTACTGGCAGGCTAAAAACCCGTCAAGAAAGTCTTAGCGCAAGGACACATGGAGGGACTGATGGCTCCAACCGCATATGTAGCAGAGGATAGCCTTGTCAGGCATCAATGGGAGGAAAGCCCTTGGTCCTGTGAAGGCTCGATGCCCCAGTGTAGGGGAATTTGAGGGCACCCAAAGTGGGTGGAGGAACACCCTCACATAAACAGGGGAGGGGTGAATGAGATATGGGGTTTCTGGGGGGAAACCGGGAAAGGGGATAACGTTTGAAATGTAAATAAAGAAAATATCCAATAAAAATAAATGAATAAATTAAGTTTTTAAAAAAAAGAAAGTCTTAGTGCCAACTACTGTGAGAGCACACTATAAAACAAGTGTTTGATGCATGTCGTTTTGGGGTTATTATATTCAGCTTCCCCGCTGGGCCACTCACATCTCTCTCAATGCCTGTGAAAAGGTGACACACAAACATATTTTGGAAATATGAATCCAATGACCAGCATAGAACTGCTTTTCACGTGACCAAGGCAGGGCCTCTTGGCCTTCCTAGATCGCAGGACAACGTAACTTAGCCTCACCCCCACCTCAAGAGGAGCCTCACCAGCAAACATTCTTACATTTTTTTGTTTGTTTGTTTTGAGACAGGGTTTTTCTGTGTAGCACTGGCTCTCCTGATCTTACTATGTAGACCAGGCTGGCTTCAAACCCAGAGCTGCCTCCAGAGTGCTGGACTAAAGGTGGGTGCCACTGTGCTTAGCATATGGTCTCCACCCCCCTTGTTTCAGAAGTCCACCCTCCACCCAATCTCAGCAGCACTATCTGTATTCACATCATTGTACAACGAGATCAAAAGCCAAACTGACGAACTTCTGTGAGATTTCCTAAACACTACTAAAATGTTTGGAAGTTTAGATCACACCAGGACTGAGATATAGGCAGACTACAAAGGGGGGGGGGCACCTCTAATATCTAAATGTCTGCGTGAAGCCCCAAACTGAGGACCCCCAGTTCAAATCCTATGCTTCAGATTCAGTGTAGTGCCCCATTTTGATTTGGGTACTCTCTAGCACAAGACATCTTTGAATACTGGCCAATAACATCAAACTCTTAGAAGGAAATTCGTGTGTGTGCATGCACGTGTGCGTGTATGCGCGTGTATGTGTGCATGTGTATGTGTGCGTATGTGTGTGCGCACTCAAGTGTGTGCGTGTGATTTTGTTTTTCCTAATGACAGGGTTTATCTGTGTAGTCTTGGCTATCCTAGAACCTGCTATGTAGGCCAGGCTGCCCTCAAACTTGGAGACTGGCCTGCCTCTGCCTCCCAACTGCTGTGACTATAGGAGTGCACCACCACTACCCAGCAGGAACAACTTCTTTTTGTTGTTGTTGTTTTTCTTTGTTTTGTTTTTTCGAGACAGGGTTTCTCTGTGTAGCCCTGGCTGTCCTGGAACTCAACTCTGTAGACTAGGCTGGCCTCAAACTCAGAAATCCTCCTGCCTCTGCCTCCCAAATGCTGGGATTAAAGACGTGCACCACCACCGCCCAGCTGCTGCTGCTGCTTCTTCTTTTTCTTTTTCTTCTTTTTTTTTTTTGGAACAATTTCTTGATATTAGCAATTAGTTGTCACTTAAAAATGTTGGCAATACAGAAAATTTTGCTTTTTCAATTCAATTTAGTTGTGGAATGTAACTTCTTTTGACTTTAACATTAAAACCGTGAGTAGGGGCTAGAGAGAAGGCTCAGCAGGTAAGAGCACTTGCTGCACTTACAGAAGACCTGAGTTCTATGGTAGAGAGACTCTCTTGTGAACTGTATGGCAGCATCACTTATCAATTAAAGAAAAAACAACTATGGCCAATGAGCTGAGGCAGGAAATAGGAGGGGCCATTCTGGCAAAGAGAGAGGAATTCTGGGAAAGAGTTAGGTATGGGAAACTCACCCCAAACTCTACAGGAGACAGTGGCATAAACCTGAGGAGAGGTAACTAACCATGTGGAAGGCATAAAATAAAACAAACGGGTTAAATAAATCACCAGCTAGTCAGGAAAGAAGCCAAAGCTTACGGCCTCAGCATTTACTCATATGTAATTAAGTCTCAGAGCTGTCATCTCTGGGAACAAAGAGGCCAAGAGGAAAGCTTGCGGTTACATTCAATTCCCAGCACCACGCTGGTCAGCTCCCCACCACCTATAATTCCAACTCCAGGGGATCCAATGCCCTCTTCTAGACCCCATGGGTACCATATACACATCACCCCTCAAAACACACAAAAGAATAAATGTTTTAAAAAATAATTTCAAAATAAAACATAAACAGCTACTATTGCTACTTTCTTATATATTTACTAACTTATTCATTTACTTATTTACTTATCTATTTTTATTTAATATTTTTGGTTTCTTGAGACAGGATTTCTCTGTGTAGCCCTGGATGTCCTGGAACTCAATTTGTAGACCAGGCTGGCTTCCAACTCACAGAGATCCGCCTGCCTCTGCCTCCCAAGTGCTAGGATTAAAGACAAGCACCGCCACGCCCTGCTAATGCTACTTTTAATTTTATTTATATATATTTTTAACTTCACTCTTTGTGAGTTTCACATCCTGCACCCCAGTCCTGCTCATCTCCCCATTCCCTCATCTCTGCCCTCTGTCCTCGCAACCTCCCCCTCAAAGTACAACATATACAAATAAACAACAGCAGCAACAACAACAAAGCATAGAAAACGTCTCATCATGGAAGCTGTACTATGTCACAGTGTGTCTCTCAGTATGTCCCTCTGTCCACACATCTTCACTTCCAAATGCCCACTGCAATGAGTCATTGGTCTTGTTCCAGCTCTCTGGCTTCTGTGACACCAATATTAGATGCTCACTCGGACTCCTCCCAGTCATCCCCTTGTCACCCTGTGTCCTGGAGACCCTGCAGCTTTAGCTCAGCAGGACTGGCCTTTCACACATCTCAACCATTTCCAGATGATACAGGTTCTGGGGTGGGCCAATGCAAGAGCCCTGGATCTGGGCCAAGCAGGACAGCACACCAGCCTTCCCTTCTCTGTAGCACCAGGGTGAGCTATCCAGCACTGCTCATGCTAAGCCACTCAACACTGCCACTGGAAGGAGCAGAGTCAGCTCTCCCATTCTCATGCCCACTCACATTTACGCCTCCAGATCCACTGTGCTACCCAGTCAAGGGGTGGGCTCACCCTCCCAAGTGCTGCAGCCTGTAAGGGGTGGGGTCTCTCACACTCTTGGGCCTGGCTCACTGGTGCCTTTGTCATCAGAGCCAGCTCCACTGTGTTCCCCAGATGAGGTGCAGGGCCTGCTGTCCTGCCTGCTACAGGCAGTGAGGGGGCAGGCATAGCTTGCCCAGCTGGTGTAGTGTATGTATGGGGGTCATACTCATGCCACCTCACACCAGATAGACTGGCAGGGGCCAGCTCTCCTGTACCCTACCATCACAGCTAGTTCTCCTGCACTCTCCAGGCAAGCTCCAAGGCCCACTCTGCCAAGTGCTGCAGCTGGTAAGGGGCAGGCTAGCTCTTCTGAGCTCATGACCAGAGGTGGCAAGGGGCAAGGGGCAGGGGGAGGAGCATCACCTCCGTGCCCATGCCACCTCATGGCAGACAACTGGCAGGCTCAGTTCTCCCACACTCACACCCTCAGAGCTTGCTCACCTGCCACCAGGGCCAGCCCCACTGTGCTACCTGGATGAGGTGCAAGGCCTGCTCTCTTGAGTGCTACCAGTGGAGAGAGATGGGGCCAGTTCTCCAGAGCTCCCATTCTAGTAAGGGGTGGAGCCAGTTATGCACAGCCCCTGAACACTCACGTGGTCCCCAGTGGCTGTCCCAACCAGAGACATCCCCATGTTCTGTAGTGGTAACATGAGCCACGGACATAGACACTGACCCTTGCTGCTATGTAGTCATTGGCCTTAAGCAGCCGCTCAGGCTGGGACCTCACCATGGCCCCAGGTAGCAGGGCTGGCCACTGACAACAGGCTCCTCCTCCTCCGCACCTCCAGTCTCCAGCTCCATCTGTCTTCATGATGCTCGAGCTGCTCCGCCTCTTTCTCTCCCATCTGACCACCACACGTTTGCACACTGTGATGGTTCCTGCTGCAGACTGGTTATGAGGCTGGTGGATCCCTGGGTGACATCTTCCATCTTTGCTGCACGGAGGCACGTAGGTGTCTGTGGCTTTCCTGTGCCATGCGCAGTGTCTCTGGGTGGGTGGTGTGGTCAACCATAGGTCTCTGCCTTCCTCCTCCCACTGTACTGCCTGGTTTTGTTTTGATTTGATTTTTATGACTCCTAGGCATAAGACAGCTTTGGCCACCAAGTCAGGCATCAAGCTAGATGAAGAAAGGAAGGACTGCCATATGCTCTGCCCCTGACTGACATAAGAACACCAGCATCAACAAGGGGTTTCCTTGCCCATTGCCAGGGGTTATTTCTATTTTTTAAAAGACAGGGTCTCACTTTGTAGCTATGGCTGGTATGGAACTCACTATGTAGACTAAGGTGGCCTTAAACTCACAAAGGCCCTTTTTCTGCCTCCTGGGTACTGGGATTAAAGATGTGGGCACCACACTCGGCTGCTACTACTACTGTTCATGTGTATTTAGTATATACTACAAACAGACGGACAGACGGACAGACACATGGTTTGTATGTGTTTTGCACATTATATGCTCTGATTATATATCTGAGCATCAAGTGCATTCCCAGTATCCGAAAGAAGCCGAAAGAGGGCGTTGGATCCCCAGGAAATGGAGTTAATAACTGAACCATGTCTCCAGGCCCTACTGTTACTTTTAAAAGTCCACTCTCCCCTCCAAGTTATTCTCACAGGGTCAGGTATCTATTCATGGAAATTCTCCAAAAGGACAGGAAACCAACTGGACCATGGGCTTTTCTCTATTAACAGAGATATTTGAAGTATATTCAATTATACAGGTAAACACTCATATTAAAAAGATTAAGATTCAGCTACCATTTTTCTTGTCACTTCATGGCAAAGCTTACAGTACAATAGGCAGGAAACATCGATACTCACACAGAACAAACTGCTACTTTGTCTATAACGTAAATTGGGTACATTTGCAGGATCACTCTCTATTCATTTAGGAAAATGTTATTGAGTCCAACATGGCCCAGAGCCAGACTCTGGACATACAAGGTCAGAAAGACTGGCCCAAGCCTTACTTCCTCACTGGACCTGAGACCGAGAACAGAGAACTACAATGTGGAGTTGCCAAGTGTCCTGAGATCCCACGGGGAGGAGCCCAGACTCCAGGATCAAAAAAGACTTCCCAAAGGAAGCAACAAATAGGCTGGGCAGGAAAGGAGTTAGTTGTGGACAGGAGTGGGGGACTGGACAGGCAGTGCTCAGTTCACAGAGAAGAGAGCAAAGAGCAGAGCCAGGCAGCAAGGAGTCTGCCAAGACGGCCTTATTAGGCATAGCAGTCTGGATACACTGACCAGACAATCCGCCACACTGTGACATGGTTATCAGCCCTGCCTGCCTCACTCTGCAAAACAATACAGGGCCTCCTCACTTGTCTTCCCACTAAATGGTCATCTTTTTACACTCTGATTTTATTTCTGCTATTCTCTCGGATTTCATTTACAAAGAACAGAAAGTAAAACTCAAAATAATTCAGTGTGTTAAAATATATTAATTGAAAAAAATCAGAAAAATGAGAACTCAGAGGTCTCCCCAGACACAGTAGAGCTGATAAAGTAGTCCAGAGAGAAAGAGCAGCTTAACTATAACAGCCCTGGCAATTAAAATGTTGATTAAGTCATGCCTTCAAAACTTTCCTATACCATAATCAGAATCCCAAATCATTTAATCATTAGTTATGCTATTCCTATAGTTGTTGGGTACACTCAAATGTTGTAGCAAACAAGAAAATTAGTTACCCAAAGACAGCAATTAACAAACATCCTTATAAAAGGGTAATGTAACATTTTCTTCACCTGTGTAAGCCTGTTCTGTAAGCCCTTGTCTAAAGCAATCTCCAAAGCAAAAATGTGTGAAATGAACTGACTCAAAACCATTAAGCACTTTGGAGCATACCTTAGTACCTGTTATGTGCCAGGTCTTGTGGGTTCCTTACAGCGGCAGTTCACTTAATCCTTCCTAACCCCACCAGGTTAGTGCTAATGGTGTTCGCTCTACAGATCAGGAAATGAAGTCATTCACCCACGATCACACTGCTAGGACATAGAGTCTTCCCCCAGATACGTGTTCCCATTACTTCACTATCCTGATCAACAGTCTACAAACATCAAAGCAAATGCTAGCAATGGAAAGCTACTATAATAAAAGCCCTTCCAGACCCAGCATGGTGGTACGTGACTTCAATCCTAGCACTCAGGAAGAAGAGGCAGGTGGATCTCTGTGATTTTGAGGCTAGCCTAGTCTACCTAGCAAGTTCTAGGTTAAAAAAAAAAAAAGAAAAAAGAAAAAGCCAAGCCAAGCCAAGCCCTTCCATTGAACCCTTGAGGAATAAACTACAGGACTGGTAGCATTCTCTGTAAAATTAGGGCTTTAGCCCTTTTACCTAAACCACACATGGCCACCGATGACTTAAGAACATGGTTGACAGGAATTGAGATAGATTGTATGTGTGAAATATGTTCTGGAATTTGAGGCTCAGTCTAGGAACTTAATATATCACTAATACTTTAATGGTGTATGTTGCAATGCTTTAGACATGATGGGTTAATTGTACTGAGTCTTTTGACTTTTCTGCTCAGCTCCTGGACTCTGAGAAGTTATACTTGCAGCTCCATCATGTTCTACTGCACACAGCAATCTAAAACGCATCAGCTCTAGACATCACTGACACGCTTTACTCTTTCTGATGACTCAGGCATCATAAGGAGCTTTAACTATACCCTGTGTGATCTGTAATCACGCCTCAGGTACTAACAAGTCAGGCTGCCCCTTAGACCTCAGATTACAGCCTCCCGGCGTGCTGAAGCCGTGCCACTGTATGACGTCCAGGCTGAGATGGAGTCCTGCGATTCTCTGTATCTGGCTCCCTTGCTGCCGCACCTAACCTCGGGAAGCTAGGTAACTGTAGTGGTGCCACACAACAGAATGAAGGTCCTGTGAGAGCTTAAAGGACTCTGAGAACTGCGTTGACGGCTCAGATCGTACTCTGTCTTTACTTCAAGAGACTCCTCTCTTCAGCACCAACCACACCAGCTTTAACTGGAAGACACTCAGTTCACCTTGAAAGCTTCCACAGCAGCTTTAGATTGAAGACAGGAAGGTACTGTAGATGGGCAGTGGTGAAGAGTGTGGACGCATCCCCTGCCACTGAACTGGACAATCACCTGGTAACTTTCACCTTACCACAGTTATAGACACATTTTAAAGACCCTTTTCCAGTTTCATGTTTTCCTCAGAATCCAGTTCAAACTCACATGCAGGGCAGGATTAGCCCTCAGGTTCTAGCCTCCACCTAAGTTTTCTCAGCCCCTTCTCCCTCCCTCCTCCAGCCTCATGTTCCAGTCACTTTTCCTCATTACACATTCCAATTCTGACCTTGGTCCTCTCTGACTGGCAACCTTTCTACCGAACAACCCCGCTCCATCGCTTTCACCTTCTCTCCTCACCCTTCTAGAACTATCGCTGCACCCCCCATATCAACACAGAAGGTTGCAGAGACAGTGGCTGCCACCCTGCTCGGCAGCAGTGGGTGCTTTGACTTGAACCTTTCCGATGGCACCTCTGTTTACATACTTCACGATGAGCTCATTTCAAGCAGGGCCAGACCCTGCATATAATTAACGCATCCCAAATGCCGTTGAGCTCACTCAGTAAACAGTACTTTCTGAAGGCCACTGGGGCCCTGCCATGTCCTCAGCACTGAGGACACTGCAGTGGGAAAGGAAAACAGACTCCTGCTTTCCTGGAGTGCCCAGAGATAAACAGCAGGCAGGCACCATCCTAAAGGAAGTAAAAATCACAGCGCGGGAGGGGCGTTTCCTGTGAGATTGTCTGGGAGGTGCCCTCTCCTATCAGAGCCCTGGTGAACTGCACTAGTCTGGTTCTGAGTTGGTCTGAACAATAGAAATACTAGACAAGGCAGACAAACTTTCATTTCTAACAAAGGAGACTATGTTCGCTGAGTTCTATCGACTAGGTAGATTTTACAATCCCATTCCAGCATCCCTCAGCACGAAGAGCGGAAGCACACTGTGAGAGGAGTCTCTGGTCTATCCTATCTCCATAACGGCTGCTGGTACAACAACAAACGTAAGACCAAATGCTTACTGAGTGCTTCTCATGACTACTGACACTCCAGCACCTGACAAGCCACACAGCCATCTTAGGAAACACACCAGCAAACCCATTCTTAAGAGGAGGAAGATGAGGCACAAAGATGTTACATAATTTATCCAAGGCCTCAGAAAAGTGAGTGGCAAAGCCACAATCAGAAGCCCACTGTGTCACTGAAGCCATGCTGTGTGGCTTTATACTAGTATTTCTCCAATCAGAGTCTGAAGTTGGAGGATGCAAGTTCAAGACCAGCTGGAAATATATATATATTTTTTCATGAAATATATAATACACACACACACACATATATATATAATATGCATCAGGTTCCAAACTAGCTTGAGATACACTGTTTAAAGAAAGAGGGGGAGGGAAGGAAGGAAGGAAGGGGACAAGGCAGGCAGGTGAGCGTACAGAACTGTTAGGTATTTTAGTGCCAAAATGAAAGAGCTCTAGTCTAGCCATGATCTGGGAAACTTGGGTTAGTCATCTTAAGAACCTGACCACGTACACAGGAAGTACAAGGTGAGGTGTACAGTGCAGTATGGATGCCCAGGCAGCAACCCTCATGTCAATCCCACAGCACTAAAAGCTACTGCATCTGAAGGGAGAGACGTGCTTACCATGCATTCAGACCTTCAGATTTAAGTAACATATTTCTGGAGTAGCCACCATCTCAAACAGCCCAGTGAAAACACACCGTCCACACAGCCCTTTACACTAACTGCTTCCCTTATGCTCTATCTTAAAGGGAGGACAAATCCAGCTGCTGAAGCAGTAAGCCTGTCACTGTTCCTCCTCTCTCACACACACATGCACTCACACTCAAGCACTCTCACACACATGCTCTCACACACATGCACTCACACACACATGCACTCACACAAGCACTCTCACACACAAGCACTCTCACACACAAGTACTCACACACATGCACTCACACTCACAAGCACTCACACACACATGCACTCACACACAAGCACTCTCACACACAAGCACTCTCACACACAAGCACTCTCACACACATGCACTCACACAAGCACTCTTACACACATGCATTCACACACATGCACTCACACACACATGCACTCACACACATGCACTCTCACATGCACTCACTAACAAGCACTCTCACACACATGCACTCACA